AAAACAAGAATTTCATCATTCCTAATTATCCCTATCCAAATAGCCTCAAATATATTTGTTTATTCCAGCTCAGATTATGCCATGTTATCTCCCACTGCCTACTCACATTCTCTTTCCTTTCCTTTCTTCATCTGTCTCTTTTCTTTCAATCACAATCCCTCTCTCAAAACACTGCATCATTTTCTCTCCGCTCCCTCATCCTGCCCCCCTCTCCATCTCGCTCCCGCTGTCCAGTGGAGGGTCAGTGGTCGGAGTGGGGGCCCTGGTCGACGTGCAGCGTGACGTGTGACACGGGAGCCCAGCAGAGGCAGAGGCGCTGCAGTCCGTCCGTGCACGGCTGGGCCGAGTGTAAAGGTCCCCATCAGGAGAGCAGGGATTGCACCAACCCTTCATGCGGCGGTAACGCATACAAATTACAGCTCGGTATTCACACTCACATGCCCTCGAACATCATTATGCAAACACGGACCATGCATTATCTAAAGGCATGCACATGCTTGTCTCTGATTCACCGTCCACATATGAGTAATTTGTGGGTTGGGACCCAATTTGGCAAGTCTGTTTTTCAACAAGGGGGCCCCCGGAGGACAAAAATATACTTGGGCGTTTTAATGAGCCTGGGCCAAGGCTTGGGCTCCAGTTGACTTTATATTTGAATTCGCAGTGAAAAATAATGTATAAAAAAACACAAAAAAAAGTTAGATAGTGTTAAATTTACTATTCAGAAAGATGTTTCCACTCCTCCTCCAATGTTTTCTCCCTGATCCTAACCGTGTTCTGCTCCTGTGCCAGGTGGAGGGAACTGGGGCAGCTGGAACCACTGGAGCCTCTGCAGCAAGACGTGTGACTCCGGGTGGCAGCGGCGCTTCAGGATGTGCGAGGGCACCGGAATACAAGGTTACCCCTGCGACGGCCTGGGAGAGGAGGTCCGGTCCTGCAACGAGAAGAAATGCCCCGGTCAGTGTGTTACCTATATTTGAGTGTGTGTGTGTGTACAGGTTCTCTGTGTTCGTATGCTTTAAAGAGCTTGATATAATTGTTTTTTTTTTTGCATCTTTGGCCTGCAGTGGCTTTTTTTTATCTTATTTGCATGTTAGCTAGTCCATTTCCCCTTTTCTCTGGTCAGTTTCTTTTTGACTGCATCAAATATAAGAACATGGCAGGCGTATTTTTCGGTCGCATACCCGAGTGTCACTTGTGTCCGTGCTTGCTTTGAGGCGGCTATAAATTTGCAGCCTCCGGCGTGACCTCTTTGTTTTTAGCAACTCTCAAGCCTCTTTTCCACACGAGGAGAATGGTGTCTGCTGGTGTTGCAGGGGAACATCATATTGCATTTTCACTCCTTTGCTCTTTGCTCTCCTTTCCATCCTCATCTCTCCGCATCTGTCTCTGCCAGCCCCTTGTCTTCCCCCCTCGGAATATCTTCAGAGCACTTTCCCCTGTTTTTTCATCAGGGTTATGAAAGCGAGGGAGGGGGGGGGAAATAGATGAATAAAAAGAGGGGACAAGATGAAGAGGGAATGAGATACTGCACTGAGGCGATGTCACTGACAGAGAGCACTGAGAAATATACAAGGGAATAAGATTGGGAGCTACTGCAGAAAGCATAGATTTGAATCTGTTTCTTTTTTTGTGGTCTTCTGTCTCCACATTTTTCTCTCCCGCTCCAATGTGTGTGGCTACGCTGTGATTTTTCTTACTTATTGCCTCTTGGCTGTGCTACATTTGACTCTTTTATGCGTTGTCTCAACCGCAGCTCCTCATGAGATATGCAAAGATGAGCACCTCCTCTCTATGTCATGGAAAAGAGCTTCGGCTGGAGAAACTGTCTACAACAAGTGTCCAACAAATGCCACTGGTCAGTCCCACTTTGAACCTGAAGCTGGTAATACTATCTGATAGCTGCTAACCTTTTTTTTTTTTGTTTTTTTGAACTGCATGAATTTGTTTAACCTTTGCTAAGCATATATTGGCCAAGAACTGAGTTATTTAAGTAATGTTATTAGCTTTCCAGGCTTGTTAAAGAGAGCTGTATGTACACTTTTTAGCGTGTTACTGCACTGTCCCTAAAGCGAAGAAAGAAACGTACAGCTTCCGAATTAAAGAAAATTGTAAGGCAGGATTATTCATGAGTTTTAAATGTCCCAATGAGTGTATGTTTTGGCCATCTGTATTTAGCATGAGTAACAGGAAACATGAAAATAAATCATTAAAGCGTTGTTTTATTAATGCACAGTCTATGGGAAGACGACTAGCATTAGACGTTTTTCGTTCCCATGAAAAATCATCATGTTTATGTTTATTATGGTTAAGCTATCATGCTGCTTAAATCATTTGATCTTTGGTTCCACTTAACAGCGAGCACATGGACATAACAAGTTGTGGGAGCATGTAGTTAACAATAATAAAAATTATTATCAATCTATGTTTATGAAAGGTTTCTCCTTGGTCACAATAGCTTTTCCCAGCGATGTATTATTCATTACACGCTATAAATCAGTACAGTGGACACATACAGCTTAAATGTAGTTGAATTGCATTAATGTTTAACCCTGTAATTTTAATGAAATATTAGTTTAATTTAACCAAACTCAAGATTGCCAGTCTCAATTTAAGAGGACACAGAGTTCAGTGGGTCTATTCTAAAGTTAGCTGTGCCACTGGCCTCAGCATCAAAACACTTCTAATTGACCAGATACCCTGTCAGTGTACATTATAGCTCAGAGAATGAACATTGAACCCAAACCAAAGTGTACATTCATTAAACAGCAAGACATTGAGGTTATTTAATATACCACACACTGACAGAGTAAAAAGTGACATTGGCAATGTATCTTGTCCACCTTCACAGCGTTATCTCCCACCTGCCAGGTAGAATGTGCAGAGATCTTACTTTTTCAGTAGGATGGAGTTGTTAGTTGTTATTTGGGTATTATGACCTCATTATAAACTCTGTATTACCCCTGATCTATGAAAAGTGCTCATACATTCCTGTCTTATAACAGAAATTTTACATTCCCAATAATGGGTACATTTTAACCTAAATGTGTTGCGTTTTGTATCAGATATTGAGTCCTTCTTTTTTTTTATCTTAATCATCCATAGGATCTGCTAGTCGTCGTTGTATGCTGGACAATAATGGAGTTGCTTTCTGGGGTCCTCCGAGCTTCGCCAGATGCGTCTCACTTGATTATAGATATTTGCATTTATCTGTAAGTACCTTTTTATCAAATAATTCCTGCTAATCTCAGAAACACTTTCCTGTTTCATAATCTCTGAACAACACGAAGTTTACTCAAAATAGAAGAGGAATTATGTCTCTACTGAAGGCTTGCCATTATCTTTAATTAGCTTTTCCAGAGAGTTGCACTCACACTTATCAATTAATGAACATAGCCTAATGAATGTGTTCATCAGGGAGACTCTTTTCCTGCTCCGTGAACTTCAACCTTTTCCATCTACTAGAAGATGTTGGAAGGAGATAAGGGTCGGGGATTGTGCATGACAGAACTGATTGCACTCTTAGCTTCTGTTCCAACCTTTCATTAACACCAGGAGTCAATTATTAATTTTCTGCTATTTCTGTTATCTTCTTTTCTTCCTCTGCACCCCCACCCTTTACTTTCTGATTGTATTTAATACTCATGCATCAACCTTCTTTAACCTCTAGTTTTCAGGAACGGGTTTCTCGCAGAGAATTGCTGTTCAGCTTCATCTTCCTCGGTTATTTTAAGCCCCATACATCCAATGTGTAACATGCATAAATCTCTGGAAATATCCCTCTTAGATTTAAACATGATGTCTTTTGACTTCCTCTCTTAAAACCAGGTGTCAATGCTTTTGCATTGACATGTGTAACACTTTTGCTTACAACTTATTTAAGCCACTGTTTGGGAAGTAAAATGTAATCTGTCATTTCTTGCTATGGGATTTCAGATCTTCTCATTAATTGTGTGTATGATAAATTAATGAATCGTGGTCCAGTTTAGCTGCTTAACTCGGCATTTGGCAGGTTTGCCTTTTCTCTATAAGCAGAATATGGTTTTACTTTGCATTGATGACTGGATGAATTTAGTTGTTTTAAAGTATGGCGTCCTGTTGATATTGAGTCATAAATGTTTTCACCTTTTTAACACTGAATTCAAATTTAGATTTATAACAACATAATTTTAGTGTTACATTTGAAGGTGGCTTTAATATTTCTTTTCCATGCAGTGAGATAAACATAATGCCTTTTGATTTTTAACAGTTTGTGTAAAATATTACTTTTTTTTCTTCAGGATTTTTTTATATTAATGTGCCACTGTTTATTGTTTTCTATATTTCAGAGAAGGTCCTGATTTTGTCTAAAAAATATAATGTGCATTTATATTAATCTAGCTGGCAATAAAGATCTCACCAGTCAAATATCTGTTGTGGCAGAGAGATATACATCCAAGAATTTAAATAAATGGGAATCATTTACCCTTAGTAAAAAAATACAGTTGCTTCTACAGGGCAGACCGGCTGTCTGCAAGACACAAAACTATGAAAGAAACTATGCCACAAGCTTCTAGTGCCTCATGCTGATAGGAAGACGAGGCTCAATGAATTATGAAAAGGGGCAGAGGACCCGAGTTCTCTACCACTTTACAATTCATACTTTGCCGGTCTTTATATAGTGGCTGAATGCGGACATTGAATAAAAACCGCTGAAAAACATATATTTTTGGTGAATTATGCCAGCCTGTTGTTATAATGAAATCATTCTTATTCAGTTTTACAAAGTAGGAATAGATTTCCCAATTTTTTCTCTTTTTTTTCTTTTTGTTCCAATTTCAACTGTAACTGGCATCAAAATCTAAATAACAAACAAACCTACATGTCTCTTTCTAAGCAGTCCGTGTTAGCAGTGAATTTATTTCAAGAAAACTACATTTAGACTTTCACTGTTGTTTTTTTTAAATCTTTTCATTGAAATTATGTTCTCTCATAAACTCTGTTTCTGAACGCATTTTTAGTTACGAGAGCATCTCGCGAAGGGTCAGAGGACCCTGGCCGGGGAGGGCATGTCTCAGATCGTACGGAGTCTCCTGGAACTCTTGCAGAGGAGGAGCTACTATAGTGGCGACCTTCTCTTCTCCACGGAGATCCTACGAAATGTGACGGACACCTTCAAAAGAGCAACCTACATCCCAGCTCCTGACGACGTGCAGGTTGGCACAGCCTCCGAGCCTTCCACTGTAAACCTGTTCAGTCCCGGACCTCATAAAATATGAAGAAATAGACTCTTTATGACTCTGAGATCCACCGGGGTTCTATTTACTTTGGCACCTCTCTGCGAACATTGCTAACTTTTCTTGTGTCTGTAGAAATTCTTCCAGATTGTCAGCCACATGTTGGACTTGGAAAATCTCGAGAAATGGGAGGATGCTCACCAGGTAAAATCCCTCTGTGTGTGCACGGCCAAGTGCATTTGGCCTGAATGATAATCGCACTTCGTTATCATTAGTGTGTGCTGCTGTACCAGGTGTCAGAGGTGCATGTTCTGGCATATGTGTATTTATGTAAGAAATTGGGTGTAGCATCATAGTGTATACACTTTTCATTGGTAGTCTTAAAAGACATTCATGACATGTACATTTGTCAGTGAGCGTGTGTCTTGTCCCAATGCCCTCGAATAGAGGTGAGTTTACCCACCATCTGGACATAATAAACAATTCTAAAAGGTATTTTATTCCACACAGTCCCAATTTACAGCCCCGGAATACACAATGTGGCCTAGTTAATGAAAAGAATGATTTAGAAGGAAAGACGGTGTAACAAAAAAAGTGAGATTTGGATTTTAATTATGATATCATAATCATGCTCACCTTTTCTTTTCTATCTTCCACCCATAGGTCGCTCCCGGGGCTGCTTTGCTGATGAGGATATTAGAAGATTTCATTCACCTTATTGGAGAAGCCCAGAAGCCTTTTCAGAGTTTCCTGGTTGTTACAAACAACCTCAGTAAGTCACTGTGTTCTGACGAATTACAAAGCATGGCAGATGCTAACTAATGAACGCTTCATGTCTTCTGTTTTTCTTGGAAAGTAGGTCAGAATTTGGATGTAAACTCAGGTGTTAATTAGTGTAATGTCAAACACTTTTGCGTTCTTCAGTGGTCAGCACTATGCAGAGACTACTCCAGATGCGTATAAAGTGTGCTTTTGTTTTTTTTTTTCTCCCTGTCTTTATTTAGTGCTTTTTGTGTAATCCTCAAATTTACAATGCAGAGTTTCCGCAGTCTTATGTTCTTTACTATGTCTTGTTTGTACAGTGATAACCATCCAGAGAGAACCAGTTTCAGCAGTTTCCAGCGATATTAACTTCCCCATGAAGGGCCGCAGAGGGATGAAGGACTGGGCCCGAACAGCCGATGATAAGCTCTACATTCCTAAAGAGGTCTTCACCATCCCAACCGAGGGTGAGAAGTTCAGAATGCATTTCACAGTAGCTGCCCAGCTAGTTCAGGCTTTTTGGTACTATTTATGTAGTTAACCAGAGTCAAGACAAAATAACCATGGTTAGGTGTCACTTTTCAGGGGCCAGTCATTACCTTTCCAATAACTAAAATGCAAGGGTCAATGCAAGGATTTCAGCCAAAATGGCTTAACAATAATCCTGATTTTAATAGAGTAAATTACTGATATCCTGTCAAAAATAGGCCTTAAGCAATTTCTTAACTTCCTTCCATCTGATAAAATCAAGACAAAACTGACTGGAGATGAGAGTATTTGTAAGATTTGACAGTTCTTCATCATTTTGAATTTTATTGGCTTTACAAAGACCTAAATTAAATGTTTTATTTTCTAAAAAATTTCTTGTTTCATCTTTTCGTTGTGAATGCTTTTTAACCGCAATGATTATGTAGTCACAGTCTTTACAGGCCAGAGCTGGATTAAGGCGGTTATCATGGTCAAGGAAAAGAGCACTTTAATTGAGTAGTATTTACTTTTTTGAGTCTTCTGAAGCTTGATTACTGAATGCCAAATCAAGGAACATGCTCAGGAGGCTTAATTTTGCCCTGCTGCAATCCAATAACCCTGGCCAAATAGAAAAAAAAGAGGGAGGGAAAAAGCTATGGCTGTGCAGCTGTGTAAAATTAAAGTGAGCTTAAGGTCAGGTGGGAACTACACAGTTGGAAAAATGAATGCCCTACTTCATGGAAATCATTTAGAAAAAGAGATATTAGACTGAATGGATCGAAAAAAACCCATTCTCATAGTCGAAGTTCTTACAAATCCAAGGTCATACCAGCTCGACAAAACTGCTTTCCTGTGTGATTTAACACACTCAACAAAGTGTCTCACTGGGGCACATCGAAGACCTCACAAAGATGTTAAAGGGTAATGCTCAGAAGAATTTAGACCGTGAAATGGCTCTAGAGGGCTTTTCAAGTAGATGCACTTTTTTCATCCAGGTTTGTCATATCGCCCTGAAAGAATCAAGTCCTTATTCACTTCTGAGTTACTCTGGTTCCATTTGAGCAACACGGAAATACTGCAAGTACCAACTGGGATCAATTCTATTCTTTTTTTTTTTTGTATGGTGTCAGTTTAACCCAAGAATTAGGAGGAAAAATATCTTCATATGTACCAAGAAGAGAAGGAGAACGTGATATAGAAATGGAACAAATGAAGAAAGATTGTGTCTGAAGTTGTAAAAGGAGTAAGAAAAGGGTGTAAGAGTGGAAGCAAAATGGTTTTTAGTCGATGGAACTGCTGTAGCAGATGCGATCCACTACCAGTAAAGGCAAAGGCCACATCCCACAGGAAATTACACTGGCCGACTTTCTGTCAGGGACCCCATTCCCCTTCCCAAATTAAAGTTCAGAGGGCTGCAGGCCGAAAGAGTAAAGCGTCCTCCGGCCTCTGACTCCCACTGATGACACTGTCTGATTGGCGTTTAAGACATCCCGGGAACCCTTACTGAACTCACCTAGCCTCTGTCACTTCATTATGCCGATGTGACAGGCGTATGCTAAACCACTTCACATCTAACCAGGTACAGTCTATTCATAGCACACTGTTAATCACTCTTCTGTGAGGGATTTGGTTCAAGGTTTGTTTTTTTTTTCCTGCAGTGTATGGAAATAAATGTAAATGATTGGATCTGAATTGATGTTGCTCAACTTGGATATGATCTCTTTATGTCTCGTTCTCATTTTTGCTCTCATTTGCAACTGTGTTTTTCTTGGGTTTGGTGGTGACCATTTGGCTTAATGCTGTGCATGTTCTGCAAAAAAAAAAACAAAAAAAAAAAAAGACCAGCTGCATCTCATTTTTAATGGGCCTTTCTCCAATGACATTCAGCATGTCAGTTCCATTTCAGCATACAATATTTGATGTATCATGTCGTACCAACTGCTCATGCCCCTCAGAGGTAGAAAATTATTACTACTCTTTGCCCCAGTAGGAATTCTGGCTTTTTCTCATTGTGAGGCCAGGAGTTGAGATCTTCAGCTGATTATCAGTTTGTTCGGTTCATTTGCCATGTAATGAAAGCCCATCTCAGATGGACAGCTTAAACATGCTCATAAAGGCACATTGGCCCCTTTGTGTGTGCACGTTCGCACAGTGGTGCACATACACGCAAACCACTTGATAGGTTCATGAACCGCTTCGGTGAGCAGAGGCTGAGGCCACTCTTCACTGATTTTCGAGGTGACAAACTCTGTCGCTCCCTCTAGTTTGTCTGCTTCTCACACACACACACACGCATGCAGCGCGCTCTGTCTTACCGTCATGCAAACACAAAGGTATCAACACACGTCTCATTGCTAATGCATTGTTAAGTTTTGAATATTACTCCTGGAGGAAAGCAAATAGCAGAAGCTCTACCCTCTGATAATTCACACAGGGCTTCTGTCTCGAAGATTCTACCTACTGCAATCTAAAATTAGCTGATTTTTGGGGTATAGCCTACGAGTAAATTCAATAATCTAATTGAATATGATAGATTAAACCATGGATGATTATGAAGGTAGAGCCAGAAAACTGGGCACATTGTTAAAATAATGTCTTGAGGAAAGTGGTGGAGCATTGATGGAGAGAACTGTTGCCTGTCCATGCCATAATTTTAACCCAGAAAGTCCTGATACAACACAGGTGACACACAGGTAATGTGTATCATGTGTATTAAGTGATTCCTGCATTTTTGACAAATTTAAGTTATACTATGAAACAAAAATTAATAGTTTAACCTTACTCCAACACTTACGAAGAGTGATTAAACAGCAAAATTTGTGTTACCCTACAAATAAAATGACAAATTGATAAACTAAACCACCCCCATATAAAGGTATAGTTGATCCATTTGGATTTTCTTGACCTAAAGCAGCTTAGGCCGAAATATTTGACCTGGTTTCATTAGAAAAATTTGCACCATGTCTTTTCTGCGTCAAACAGTTGTTCCCACCACCAGCTACTTAAATTCGGATTTCAACACTGTTCATGGTCCGTTCAATACAGGTTGCAATGTTGTGTTAGGGTTTTTACTACACAGTGCAGTTTATGTTGTAACTATGTCATGGAGCAGTGATACAGTGCTCAGCTGTGCCAAGCTGTGGGTTGATTTTTATTTGGTTTATGCCCAATAGTTAACAGAAGGGAAAGCTGTTGGCAACAGGAATGGCATCCTATCGCAGCTAAGATACTGTCTTCCTTAGCTTCTTGTCACTATGTTCAGAAACATAAAAAAGCTCTAACATTTCCCATGTTGCATACGACAGTGAAAGGAAAGCATACGTGCGTAAGAATTAAGGAAGAGTAAATAAGAGTGAGTCACAGGGAGCTCAGCGGTTGTAGCTTTCAAACAGTAATTAAAACGGTAAATTCTGGCCGAGCATCAGCTCTGAGCATATCTTTCCCTGATAAATGGCATATTAAAGTTCACAGCTGGTGACTGGTGGTTTGCCAACTTGCTGGGTTACAGCTGACCACCAATCATTTGGATGTTCGGCAGGAAGAGAGTGACGAAAAGTGTGTTCCTGGGAAATTAGAGTTTTATGATTGAGTACTTTTGTGTTATTAATCATTCCCGAGGGGTGTGAGTGCCACCCCCTCGCACACTGATTTACTATTTATCCAGAATGCACTGACTCTCTCATTTGCATGCCTTTGCAGACACTGTCCAATTAGGTTCCATCAAAGTCACAGGCTTTCTGATGCTGACTTTGATCTTGTTTTTTGCCTCCTTTAAGCCCCACAATTGCTTTTTTTCCTTTGTTGTTTTTTTTTAAGACCGTAGTGATCTTTTACTCTGTTCCTCTATCCTCGTCGGTCTTGCATAGCTAGATTTCCTCCCTAAGCCTTACCTCTTAGGCGGGAGGCAGACAGCTTTTTGGATGAGTCACCCAGCATGTCTGGCTCTGTCAGCCCCTTCTCCGTCTCCTCCTCTCCTCCTCTCTCTGCCGGTGCCCCCCCCCTCCATCGTTCTCCCAGCCGAAAAGGGCAAAAGAGGGTGTGGCATCTCTCAAACATGAACTCTCTTCCTTGCACTTTTCCTGTCTGTTTCCTTCTGCCTCCCCTCACTTGAGACAAAATGACATTTGCAGAGGGGGGCAGTACGCCTCCTTGGGAGCCTCTGCTCTTTTTGGAGAGGGAACATTGACTTGAGCTATAGAAGGCGAGGGGGATGTGAAGAAGAAGCATTGAGAAGTTGGGGAAAGTTGAAAAGTAGGTTAGTGAAAAGTGAAAACAGCAAAACAAGAAAAAAAAAATTCAAGGAAAGGACATGGACAAATATGCACTGAAATACAGGTTTTTCTTTATTATTTGTCGAGGATTCACAATAGATAGTGAATATGTCTGTGTCACATGTACTTATGGTCCGTGTTTCTTTAACATTTGGAACATGGGAATCTCTGTGAGTCCTGAAAATATAGGTACCACTTTCAACACTTGCCCTCACCACATTAACAGCAACACGAGCAGGAGCGCCGGGTTTAGCCTCACGCCCGATTAGGTGCTCAAGGAATTCTGACAGATCGCGCCGCTAAATAAATAGCTCGTTTCAGTTTTCCTTTCCGTTCAAACAGTAATCCTGTTGTTTTATCGACAGTAATTAGCTCCACCAGAGTCACCTTAACTCATCATTTTGAGCCAAATGAAGAGGCTTCTGCTGTCTGACCTTGTATCAATATTTACCGATGCGTTTGAGTCGGCGGATGTTTGATTTTGACCAAAAGCCTCTTTGCTTTTCACCTAGACCCCAGCTTTTATGGAATAATGAAAACTTTAACTGTCAGAGGACACTTAGAGTTACGTGTGGTGCCGGTTCTCTTCTGAAATGCTGATGTGACATTGTGTCAGAATGGTTTTTGGGTGACATGAACATCATGTCCTCCTTTGTTTTCTTGCCTTTATACAGTTAGATCCTAACCAGTATAACATGGAATTCTTAAGTTCACCTCCGATTTGCGTCATCCCCTTATGATTGACATGCTAACTTGAGCTGTTATGGGGATAAAACATGAAGTTACAAGCAAATTGTAGCTCTAAAAATACTATTCTATATTATGTTTCCAGTCCAGTGTGACTCTCAAATTGTGTATAAAGTGTGTCTTTCTGATGCTTTGGTAAATGTGTAATAGTGAAAAGTGAGGAGCATTCACGGTGAGTCTGCTTTAACAGACCAATGAAGCCATTACTCCATGTGTCATGCACGAAACGGGATGATACAAATCGCATTGCGCCAATCACAAAGAATCAACATGTTTTTCAACTCAAAAGGATAATTACCCCAAATGTGTAATGTGTAGCAGTCGAATGCTTCCCTGAGCATTTGTCAGTGACACCATCATAGTACATGTAAATTAAGGAGGAATTTCAGTTCAGCGAGTGAAATGCATGCTTGTTTATTTCCACAGCTAATAAATGTCTGCACTTTAGCTCAAGGAGCAACACTCAAGACTCTGAAGCATATTATTCCTCCTTTTCCTTTTTTTCTCTTCTTTTCCAAGCTTAGCTGCATGCCTCCTCCATTTTTCCTATCAACAAACAATCAGAAATGATTGTACGCTTGTTTGCGGCGGCGCCTGCTTAACTCCCACGAGAGATATTTTCCCTGAATGAGAATGCCAGAGATTTTTTTTTTTCAACTTGACTTGAGCTGCTTTTGTTAAAACAGAAAACAGGATTATTGATTCGGTGGATCCAAGGATTTTTCTGCTTTTAAATGCAAAGCTCACCTGTTGCAAAATTCTCTTTCAGAGGCTGAAACAGACTCAGAATCCACAATGTACTATGTCATTGGAGCCATTTTGTACAGGACACTGGGCGTCATTCTACCCGCACCTGCGTGAGTACAGCCCTTTTCTTATTTTAGTCAAAAGACTTCAAACTATACGTCACCTCCTTCATATCCCCGTGTCCTTTTTTACCCCAACTCTCTGCGACTCAATCTTCAGTTCTTTGTCGAGATTTTCATCTCTCTCGCATTGTCTTTTGTCCCCCCCCTCCTTTCCATTCTCACCACCTTTCTATTTCTGTGCCCTTTCCTCTGTCACTCTCCCCATCTATCCAATTTCAGCCTCCAATTCCTCGACTGTCTGTTCTCTTACAGTGTCTCAGTTGCTTCTCCCCTCTCCATGTGTCTGCATCAGATGGAAAAGACCTTTTTCTCTCTGGAATTTTTTTATTTTTTAGCATTGTCATTGTGTTTTTGCAAGTGTATAAAGGGCTGTGAATTAGCACAGACCTAATGGGTTCTGAAAAACTTGCCTGAAACTTAAAGAGAAAGCCATAGTTAGTGAAACTGAGCAGGTTGTCAGAAGTCCTAAGTGATGCGGTATTTGTGCTGGCCCCGGGCCCTTTTATTCAGGTCAGCGCTCTTGGTCGTGAATGTTCTAGATCTATTAAAACTCTTTTCTGTTGCTCTGTTGCATGTTAATAAAGCTGGCCTGTTTTTTTTTTTGTTTTTTTCAGAAGACTTTCCTTCATTGATATTTTCTTTGGCACAGCTACTTCAAAATCTGTGCTGGAAGTGTGAATTTATATGCATACTCGCGGGCATCGGCTCTACTTGTTTACATGTGTGTTTGCATCTCGACAGTCCCCCTGCGGTGATCAACTCCAAGATCCTGACAGTGACAGTTCGACCAGAACCGCAGCCCAGCGAGCCCATGGTGGTGGTGGAGCTGTCGCCTCTTTTAAATGTAAGTTCAAGAAAAACAAGAAAAAAAAATCCTTTTTTGAATGTATTTATTTATTTTTAGAAACCTGTTGCTTTAACGCAATACAAACGCTGCTTTTGCTGACCAGCAGGAATGCTGTTGGTCTTCAAACTCCCCCAACTGCTCTCTAGAATTATTCAAATTAACCACCGGGAAAATCGCCTTAATTTTTTAAAAAGTCATTGCATCAGAAAGTGCAGCGGAAATATAAAATATTCCATATGTTGCACTTTCCGATGCAAGAGTTAGCATTTTCTTTTCTTTCTTTTTTTGTTTTTTTGTTTTTGCCTTTAAATGCTGCAACTCTTTGCCATGAAAATTAATTTTTTGTAGGCTGTGAGGGAATCTTCTCCTCCCAGCTGACTCATGTAGCCTGAGTTCAGAGGAAGCAGAAAGTGCTGCATGCTGTAAAGCGCCATAGTGCTTCGCTGAATAGCCTAAATAAATGCAGACCTCTTTTGACTTTCCTCTATGGCAAAGTCTCCCGGTGCCTATTCACTTTATATTACAGCGGAGTGTGTAATTACAAATGACTTGTGGGGTGTCTTCAGTGGAAATGACTAAGTAAGGTTCTTATGAAAGGCACACTTCAACACCTCAATAAGATGCGGGTTCCATTAGGTATTTTGCTGGGCAATGAAATCTCCCAGTGAAATCTGATCCAGACATCTCTCAGGATCTGATGGTCAAAATTATAGCGTAGGTTTTACGAGGGAAAAAAAAAAAAGTTTAACATCCTTTCCGCTGTATTACCCAGGTTAAACAGTTGATTCTTTACCCAGTCATGGCATTATGGCTTTATATGCCACGGTAAACTTTGTTACCCTCTTTTTATTTTCTTTTAAAATCATTTGGCAAAGCAAAGGGAGGGAAAGGTTTCGCTGTCTAAAGGAGGATGTCTCAATGCTGACTGGAGCACACTGCGCTTTATGGAGGTTCACGCTGCGGAAGGGCTTTTCTTTGGCAACCAGTGCAGCAGAGGGCCCAGGTAGTGTTGGCATGGCAGACTGTTATTAACAACACTGCTTTGGGGGCCTTGGCTTTAAATGTGATCGAGAGATTTCAGGTCAGGGCAAAAAAAAAGCTTTAAAAAGTTCAAGTTTGGTCATTATAATGTGCATTGGACTTGCTTCTTCGTCAATATGACAAGGTGAAGTACTGGAAAGGAAAAAAAGGACAGAAAGCAACACAGAAACTGATCAAAACCATTATACCATTTTAAGATGAACCCAGAGTGTCATAGTTACATTCAGAATAAGCTGATCTTTTTAAAGCTAAAACGGTATGTCTGTTTATCCTACAATCATACATTCATTCCAAATCGGCTATGAGCAAATTACACTTAAAGTATTTTTGAGCTATTAGGGAGTAGTAATTCATATCTAAAAATTGCTATATGCATGATTAAGACCTGAGTACAATCTGAGGAAGCTAATGTAGCCTGACACAAAAGTCCGGCTCGAAATCCCCTCCATTATGTGTGGAAAGATTTTCACAGGGCTAGGGATTCAACTGAAGAGTAATTTCAGAGGACTTAATGTGTGGCGCTGTGCCAAATTAAATACAAAGGTGTTTCTTTTAATCACCCGAGCTTCACTGACTAAAACCAGGTTGAAAATATTTTGCCAAGATGGACCGCAGCCTCTGGGAAGAGTTCACGGTTTAACCAAAATCACACTAATGTACTCCCTACAAACAAAGAAATAAAGTAATAATGGTTTAGAAATAAATGCGCTTAACACCTTCAGGAAGTTAAGACTCATTGAAGTACTGCAATTAATTTGGTGTTAAGTGATCCCTAAAACATCCATAATAATGAAGTAGCTGGCCCCTCAGGTAAATTCAATGTTTTTCACTTATTTTTTTTACTTATTTCACCTGTTAGATCAGGTGGCACAATGGTCAGTAACTCCCGCAAAATAAAAAATCCAAACGATGAGAGAAATCAACAGTTGTAAGGCTGTTATTTGTTGCTGGAGTGGCTTTGGTTTAATCCGACATTTTCAAAAGCTTATTTGTCTACATCTACACGTAAAGTAGTAGAAGGTCGACAACGGAATCTACTGTGCTGTTGATCTGTAGTTACTATCGACCTTGGCTGAAGTAGTAAGATCCAGCTGCTAAAACAGGGACGTGGCAAAAGCTGCCCCAGACTTCCCTCTCAAAGGGAAATGTACAAGGTCATGTACTCGCTGAGAGGACATCTGCTCCAGGCTACGGTCCCCATCTTCATCCTCTGTGCCTTAATGTGCACGTGTGTGAGGCCTCAAAGCCCCACGGCCCTGCAGCACACCGACAAGGAGCATATGCCAAGTGGTAGCATACAGTTGCTCCTTCAGCCATTTCAAATTTGAGAGGCAGCACATGGTTAGCATCACGGACCTGAGCCTCTCTAGTAATTTCCCTGTCATCCAGTAGGTTACTTTCATCAGTCAAAAAGCATCATCCTGATAGCTCCGTTTCATTTTCCAAAATCTACGGCCTTTGTTATGAAGTGGAGGGCCTTTTAAGAATCCCTGAACCAGTGTGGTCATGTTCTGTTACATTAGCTCATTTCATCTGATTAGCTTTCCATCTTCACAGCCAATCTTCATCACTGCATGTGGCGTTGAACGCTTTGAAGAAAATGGCTGTTCTTTTCAAGAGAAAAAAAGAAGAGGACGGACGCTATTAACGCCGTCTGAATCACGGGCGCGCTTTTTTTCCCTTTTCCCTCTGAGAGAGCGTCATCAGAGCAGACGATGTCATTATGCAAGGTATCAGCATTAAAGAGGAGGCAGAGGCTGTGAGGGTACGCAGGTGTCACTCCCTCTGTAGTGAGGACAGGGCTCTGTGATTGATAGATGAATGCTAACAGAACTTGCTACGCTAATGCACGCCCAGGGACATCTAACGCTGGGGATGACGGTCAGCGGCACAGAACGCTGTCATCCATCAATCCCCGTTACCTCATCCCTGATCCAGTGTGTGTGAACGTTACATCATCCTGTCCCCTCAAGTCCACGGATGAGAGAACACTTCTGAACTGTTCGATATAGGGATTGAGGAGTGAATTCTCACAGAGAATGTTCATCACTTACAAGCTTCTCCTTTGCTGAAATAAAACAAACAAGACAAGTTGAAATTCAGTCTAAAGAAAGCCATTTATTAAGAAAGGTGCAGTGGGGTGTCCACAGATAAAACTGTTCCCTCTGTTGTGGACGATTCTTGCTGTAATCCCCTTTGCCATAAGGGGGCGCTCAAAGGCAAAGTGCTTAATGCAGGACCAACAAACCAGCACAGGGGGAGATGGTCCTCTGCAGATCTGTGTTCAGATGGCTCTTTAGTTGCATGTGCTCAGCTGCCGCCAGTATGGCTCTGAAGTTGCTTGTCTCAAACTAAGATCAGAGTTGCTCTCGTTGCCAACTCTCTGGCACTGGAATGAGTATTGCATTCATGTGACTCAGATTTAGATGGAAAAAACAAAACCAAACTATAAGATCTGAAGGGTTGATATGAACCGAAGGCCTGCGAAGTTCACCTCGAGGTCGAAAGTGCACGGCCCGCCCATTATACGCTAATCAGTGCAGATGGCCAGCGGAACAAGTTGTGATGAGTCAGTTAAAGATATCGATCCCCCCTTATTGATTCACTGATTGAGTCATAGTGAGTCTTCCTTTGCCACCATGCCCCGCTGAGCTTCGATTACCACGTGATTCAGCTGCTGCTTGACCCCAAGGGATTGGCTTTTAGCTTCAGTGAGTCGTCGGATAAGTTGAGCCTGTTTTTTAAAATTGTTTGACCCTTTTTTTTTCGACTTTTGCTTTCGCTCTGGAACACCTTCAGAGCTCTTTCAATATGTGTTGAAACCAGACAGCTTTTACTGCTGTTTGTTCATGAATCATATTCTTTTTTGCCATTCACAGCCCTCTCAGTTCACATTTACGCCTCCTCTCCTGCAGGAAAAGCCGCTATTTTTTGATCAGTCCTACGACGACGACTCTTTCTCCATCTCTTGCTACCCGCTGTCCGTCTCAATCCTTCTCTTTCATTGTCTGTTTACTCATCTCGATCTCCCATGCAGCATCACTCTTCTCTTCTGGCTACAAGCTACTCTGTCTTCTCCCACCGCCTCCTCCTTTCTCACTCATCCTTTTGACTGGCAGTGAAAGCTTATCTTCTCCCCCTCCCCCTCTCCCTTCTTCTCTATCTTGCAGGGCACATCAGATCCTCAGTGCGTTGTCTGGGACTATGGCAACCCGTAAGTCACTCTGAATGAATGAGCCTCATGTGTGCATGCTGGTGTGCAAAAAAAACACACACAAAAAAAAACACATTGGTCAAATGTTTGTTTATGTTCATCTGGTACTTGCGCAATCAGACTCATTTTATTAATGAACTGAGAACCTTCTAATGAAGTCCTCAGTACTGTTGATTAAATTACACAGCGAGAGGAGAAACACCATCCCCCTCTTTTTCGGCCTCCAGTTTAAAGCCAACATCACATACGATTCTAAGTGGCTTTTTCTTTGTCGCAGTCCTCCTGTTCCTCTTGTTTACCTTTTTCACACCGTGTTAGCGGTTTAATTCGCCATTCTTTATTCTGCTGTGAACATTCAGTTTAATTTGAGCACTCCTGTTGTGTTCTATCAGTATTCCGAAGTGTTAGTTTTCTATCTAATGGGTTTTCTTTCATTTGTCTAAGTGGGCCACACAAGGTTCGGCTTTGTTTGCCCTGAATAGTGATCCGGCTAGTGAAGAGCATAATGTGAGCCAGCACAATTGATCGCAGTGTTATCTCCATTAACCTACATTGTGATTGTCCAGTTTGTCAATAACAAAGCTAAACGTGTTCACAACCATTAAACCTAGTTTTGGTTCCAGGCTGTGATCTTAATTTCCAGCATTTGTATGCCCACTCATAAATCAGATGTAATCAATGTAGAAAGCATTAGTTGACGTCCTCTGCCTCTAACTATGGATTGCTTCAGTTTGGTGATGAG